AGCAGTTCAAAGGCTTCAGCATGAGCTGGAGTCCACACAAAGAGTTGATCCTTCTTGAGTAACTCAGTTAAGGGTTTAGCAAGAATACCAAAATGCTTGATAAATTTGCGATAATAACCAGCCAATCCGAGGAAGCCACGGAGCTCTCTGATGTTGGATGGTATCGCCACCGCCACACAACCGCACCTTCATTGGATCGCTTGATAGGCCAAAGACACTCATCATGTGGCCAAGGTATGATATGGACTGTCTGGCAAAACTGCATTTGGATTTCTTTAACCTCCACTGATCACGGCGAAGCCAATCAAAAACTTGTTGCAGATGCTTGACATGAGACTCCAAGGAAGGGCTGAATACCAGTATATCATCAAAGAAGACAATAACGAACTTTAGCAATCCAGGAGCAAGGGTGGCATTCATGGCACCTTAGAAGGTACCTGGTGCGCCTGTGAGCCCAAACACCATCACTCGGAACTCATACTGTCCGAGGTGTGTTTGGAACGCTGTTTTGAACTCCTCCCCTTCACGCAACAGAATTTGATGGAGGCCAGCCCGTAGGTCTAGAGTAGAGAACCAGCGAGCATGTGCTAACTCATCCATGAGTTGGTCGAAGACTGGTATAGGAAACTTGGACTTTAAGGTTAGGGCATTGAGGTGATAGAAATCCACACAGAAGCGGTAGCCGCCATCTTTTTTACGCACCAGGAGCACTGGAGAAGAGAATGAGCTATGGTTGTGGCGAATCAACCCTTGTGACAACATGTCTTGCACTTGTTTCTCAATCTCGTCCTTGAGCTTGGGTGGGTACTGATAAGGGCGGACATGGACTGGAGTTGCTCCATGTATCAAGGGTATCTCATGATCACAAGCCCTGGATGGTGGCAAGGAAGTAGGTGGCTGAAACAGATCAGAGTAAGCATCCAACAGTGACTGTAGCTCAGCTGGCAACGTCTGCAAATCTGGTTCAGCTTGGTCAGCAGCAGCGACTGAAGCAATGTGAAGTAACAGCTGCTGAGGAAAAAAAGTTGGAATCCCTTGCAACACAGTTAACTATCCCTGATATGTAATCGCCATCCACTTTTCCTACCAATGAATCTGCATGGGACTGTGAGCTGATAACCAGTCCATACCAATCACAACATCAAAGGTGCCTAGTGGTAGCACCCTAAAGTCAGACTAAAAAGAGCAAGCACCCACTGACCAAGGCACTTGAAGCAGAACTGCTGAGGTGGTAAGCTGAGTCCCATCAGCAACCAAGACAGAAGTAGACACTGGGACTGAAACCACACCAGTCAAGCGAGGGACCAAGGCTTGATTCACAAACGATGATGAACTGCCTGAATCGACCAAAATTTGCACTGGTATGGACTGCAACAAACCGGCGAAGCAGATGGAGCGGGAAGTTGGCACCCCAGACAAGGCAGACTTGGATAGAGCTAAGCAGCACTGCTCTGGATGTAGAAACTCTTCAACTAAATCAGCCAATGAATCTTCTGAAGAAATTGACTCCCAGAGGGCATCTACTGCATGTAGTACCTCGGGGGCACAGACATGATCCTTACTCCACTTGGCGTTGCATTTGAAACACAGACCCAAGGCCCTCCGATACGCCTTGATTGCCGCCATGGTTTGATTGGAGGCCTGAGCAGTTGTCCCAGTCTGAGCAGCAACAACTAGGACGACCGGCTTGTCAGCCCTCGGTGGAGGCAGGGGCAGCGACAGTGGAGACGTTGCGGATGTTGGAAGGTGGGGACGAAAAGCAGCCGTCCAATCACCTCCACGCGGGGCTCGCAGAGCAGGAGCTGTGCCCACCTCTTCCTGCAGTAAAGCAAGACGAACAGCAACATCGAAATTGTGGGGACGCTAAACTAGAATTACTGCTCGAATGTTGGAACGAAAGCCATCAATGAAACGTTGAGTGAAGAAAAGAGGATCGGCATTAGGAGAATAGGAAATGAGTTGATCAACTAACTGGGAAAAAGCAGTGACATAAGCTGCGACATAGGTCTGTTGGTGGATACTGAACATTTTGAAAGGATCAAGATGCCCAAGAGGGGGGGTGAATTGGGCTAATTCTAAATTTTCTTGCAATAATTAAATCATATTGATAACCCAATTAACCCCTTGTGCCTAGAAATTATTTCTAATGTTCTATCGCACAAATAGACTTACAAACTAAGTTCCAATCCTACTCTAGCATGGCAATTCTAGGAATGTAAATGACAATAATTGAATTGCTCAAAGTAATACTCAAAGTAAATGCTCAAAGTAAAGAGAGGAGAGGAAACGCGGCGATGTTTTGTCGAGGTATCGGAGAGTAGCCACTCCCCACTAGTCCTCGTTGGAGCACCCGCGCAAGGGTGTAGCTCCCCCTTGATCCGCGCAAGGATCAAGTGCTTTCTACGGGTTGATTCTTCGACACTCCGTCGCGGTGAATCACCCACAACCGCTTACAACTTGAGTTGGGTCATCCACAAGCTCTCCGGATGATCACCAAGCTCTCCAATCACCACCAAGCCGTCTAGGTGATGGCGATCACCAAGAGTAACAAGCACGAACTCTCACTTGACCACGACAAGCCTAGGGAGAAGGATGGATGCACACTTTGCTACTCTTGATCTCACTAATGAGGGCTCTCTTTGGGATTCTCAAATCTCAATCACCTCACTAGGACCTTGCTCTTCTTGGCACTCTCTAAGGTGTGTTTCAGCTGTTGGAATGAGCAAAAGTAACTCCTCACACGAGTGGAGCTCCTATTTATAACATGGGCTGAAAAACAAACCGTTATGTGCCTCTGTAGAGTGACCGGACGCTCCGGTCAGTTCAACCCGCACTCTAGTGTTTAAGTGTTGACCGGACGCTGGCAGGGTCTGATCACCACTGACCGGACGCGTCCGGTCACAAATATCCCTCACTGGAACCTTATTGTACTCGACCGGACGCTAAACCCCCAGGGTCCAGTCAGTACTGACCGGACACGTCCGGTCGCAGAATTCCTTCTCTGGAACCTTACTGGAGTCGACCGGACGCTGGTCCTCAGTGTCCGGTCACTCGACCACTCAGCGTCCGGTCGCGCCAGACGCAATCTCCTTGGTCAAATGAACTGACCAGACCCTGCGGCCAGCGTCCGGTCGCACCAGAGCCAGCGTCCGGTCAGTATTTGACCCTCCATTCATTTCCAACTCTCAATCATATGTGAATGAAGTTTGCTCCAAAGGATCTTAGGCATTTTTAGGAGCTACCTAGTGCTAGTTTTAACAAGTGTGCACCACACCTAACTCACTAGACTCACCTAGGTTAAGCTACCCGTCCATACCCCCCTTAATAGTACGGCCAAAAGAAAAATAAAGTCCTAAACTACTCTAAGTGTCTCTCCAACTCCAATCGACACTTAGAACTAGTCATCCTTAACCTTGTCGTCCATCCTTTGAAAACCGAAACGATTTCCATCGTAGGGGCATGACATCCATGATTGCCTAATCGATCTCCATTATCATGACCTAACTTAATTGCCTCTGCAAAACACACGTTAGTCATGGTAATCTTGTATTGTCATTAATCACCAAAACCCAACTAAGGGCCTAGATGCTTTCACATTTGACGAAGGAGGTGCTCATGCTGATCACGATCGAAACGTGCATGAAGCAATTGGCAGAAGGAGTCCCAAGTGGCCGAGGGAAGTTGTGGGGCGATAGACTGGTACCAAATGGTGGCTGGTCCTTCCATATAATGTTCAACCAAACCAATCCAGATAGAGGGATCGACAGCATACGTGAGGAAATACTTCTCACAGAGGGAACGCCAACGTTTCGGATTAGCCCCATCGAACGTTGGAAAAGGAAGTTTAGGAAGTCGGCCAGTGAGCTGATTGGGGCGAGTGGGCTCGGGGTAGGGAGGGTAAACGGTTGGTACAGGAGGGGAATGGTGGAGATGGAAGGGTTTGTGATGAAAATTGGGATGGGGAGGCGGAGGGGGGTGAAACATATGTGCAGGAGGATGGTGAACTGGATCCGGTGGCGGACGCGGAGGAATAACGACAGGAGGCGGACGAAAATCAGGTACAACAAGATGAGATTGATGTTCAGGAAGCATACCATTGGCCGGGACATGGGTCCAAGTCGTGACGACTCCGAACCCAGCATCCCGTGGACTGATGTCGACGTGGTGCCCGCTGGGCGATGTGGCGTGCAGACCGGTTGCTGGAGCCAACGCAGTCGCCGTCGGTGGTGAAGGAAGCGTGACCGGCCGGTGAGACGAATCGCCGAACACTTGGCGGTCGAGGGACTTCACCAGCTTCTGGACGTCCTTCTGGATGTCATCCAGGACGCCATCCACGCCTGGGCGCCACGCTTGTAGATCCACCGAGACCTGCGCGAGCGCGGCCACTTGCGGATCGGACTCGGCTTGACGGTGACGTCGTTGCCGGGCTCCAGAGTGGTGGGGCGGTGGCCGTCGGCGAAGGAGGCTTCAAGGGAGGCGAGGCGCTGTTCGACGGATGCAGACACCAGATCCAGAAGCCGGGACTCGATGCCCACCAAACGCCACTCGAGCCCAGTAGCTTGGGTGGAAATGGAAGACTCCAGAGTAGCGAAGCGGGAGTCGACGGAGCCGGTGAGGTCAACGGAGGCGCGGTCATCAAGACAGCGGTCGAATCGTCAAAGCGGGCGTTGAGCGCGTCGAGGATGTGCTTCAAGGATGGCTCCATGGCGCCGCGAGCGCGATTTAGCCGGGTGTAGTGGTGGTGTGGGGTTGGGGGCGGCGGAGGAGGCGGTGGCAGGGAAGGCGCGTCCAGGATTGGTAACGAGACGTCTGATACTAGGTGTTAGCACCGCAGGTGCGGAAGCAAGGGAATGGTACAGGAAGAACAGAATTGCAGAAGTAAATCTACTAGGAATGATTAAAAACAGAATTAGGGTTTTACATATTTCTTCCTCCCTCTTTCTCACATCCCTCTTGCTACTTATACTGTGACCCTAGTTGACCCAAGATGGGCCAATCACCCTGGCACTCGGCTTCATCAGTCTCTTGGGCCGAACTGGTGATGGCCTGGTTCCAGCAGCTGCTCCTTCGGAAGCCACTGGGCCTGCGCTGTTGACAATCAGTTCTCTTCCAGCGGCCAAAGCCACACCTGCAGATGTGTTCAGGGATTGGGCCCTTGTCCCCAGCAACCCAAGGATGCTCTGCCGCAGTCTGCAGGGTGATACGTTCCCCAGGATCTGCAAATCAATCACACAAGAAAACAAAGAAGGATGTCCATTAGAGCACATCTGGCACCAAAACTCTGATATATCAAAATCATATGAGGATACGATTTACTTAAAAAGAAAGGGAACCTTTGCAGAGAAGCCTTTGGAGCAAATCAGCAAGTTGGGGGTTCATGTCATCAGGTATTTGCACAGGATCATTGGTTATCTATTCAGTGGCAACGACTAAAGTGAGTTTCATGCACTCACCTTAAAATCAAAAGGAAATGAAGGAAACATTTTTGCACCTTATCATAAGTTTCCTGCAATGTATCTCCAAGAAATGGATAGTGCCCAGAAATCATACAATATAAAGTTACACCGACTGCCCAAGTATCAGATGCCCTACCATGGTATGCTGAACCTGCACTGAGGTAAAGAGAAAAACTTCACCATATTTAGTGAGTCTATATCTGGTAGCCCAACGAACATTTGAGTACTTCTAAATTAATGAAGAATAATCTAGGCTGTTGCAATTCAGTTTATTTGCGATTCTGCGATCATGTCCAGGATATCTTGCTACCCAAAAATCACGGTTCTATAAATTTAGTGATTGACAAATTTTATGTGCAGCATTTTTCTTGATTGAAATATTAGTGAGTCTATAAATTTTAGTTGTACCTTGACAACACTCGGGAGCAGTGAAAACAGGAGTACCAGGAGATCTCCAAAGCATATCATCATCATCCTACATTGTAACTTTGTAAGTATCACCATATCATTTTTTAAGTAAAACACCAAGACAAAAAATTTCGATAATCCAGAGGAATTCGCCACAAAAGCAAACACATACTTCAAAAAGATCAAGTGGATTTACTTGTGTTTAAGGAATGAAACAATATAAAATAAAAGTGGTACTACTGAGCAAACAAAAATACTTCCAAAAGAATGAGGAAGCATCTTGGCTGTCAACTCAAGTTATCTTTAAAATCCTCAAAAAGACAGAAAGGGAAGATTATCCTTAAAAGTGTCACTTTGAGAAACTTGGAACCTACAGAGCCAAGTTTCTTGATCAGAGTAAGAGCAATTAAGTGATAAAAATCATAATTTAGACAACTATTTTCAAGGATGAGTTCATTCAACTAAAAAAACATTTTTTTCCTGACAAGAACAATAAAATTTCACTGAAATACACAAAGTTGCAGGATTATGGAAACACCTCAAAAACCTGGCTAACACTGAAATCTCCTATCTTCACATTGCCTGAGCTTGTAACCAAGAGATTGTCTGGTTTGATATCACCATGAATAACATTCTGTGTATGAAAATGACAAGTTTCAGTGTCACATTCAAGCTAGGAAACATGCGGCATAGTGCAAACTGCATAACATAGAAAAACAACCAATCATGAGCACATGGTTACTGGCATATGTAAATAAGTTAAAAAATGGGAGAAAAGAAACATTAGATGGGAGTCTGGGAACTGTGGGATTTACTTTTCTAGGCAAGCATGATCTATCATGCACAGCAGTGATGAATAAACTAAATAATAATTTTAGCATTGTTGTGAATCGTCGTTCGCATTGGATCTACTGTGCAGGGGATGGCCAGGTGGTGTAACTTCAATTAGGGTATTATGGTATTACATTGAAATGAGAGAAAAGAAGAGTTGAGAGAGATCGCCAACGATTTAGAGAATGGAGAGATTATTTCTTGCTTACTTTTATGGAGGATTTGGTCAGACCGGGTCCATCTCTGTCTATCGTTATCTTTAACTTCCCAGTCCCTAGTAGAAACTAAAATGGACTCAATATAACAATACTTAACCTTCCTAATCATCTCCCTAAGTCCTAAGCAAAACCAACCTCAACTGTTGTTGCCATATACCACAGACATGGCATTCCCTCAACTATAATGCCTAAACTAATCTGTTGAATGAACCACATTGTTCACCATGTAATATCTAGAAGCATGTTGCTCCAGCCAGCTGTAGCAGCTGCTGCTTGTGTCACATACTGCTGCCAGGGTGCAAGCACACAAGAAGCAAATAAACAATCTGCTTGACAGATAGACTGATATTAATGCTTACAGCTTTATACAACAACAAAAAACCAAGTTTGATGCATACCACCATCTTAAATGTCAACTGTGCTTTGCCTAGTCCTTGAGTGAGGACATCATCATATTTTTAGATAAATCCAACGACTACCCAAAAACCAAACGAATAGCAGGCAATTGGCTGTGCTCAAACTTATGGAAGCTGAAATCTCAAGTTCAAGCCTACATATCCAGGACTTAAGTGTATTTATTTATGTACAGTAGGCAGTGGCTTGCAGAAATCCATTGATCTTCCACAAATCATGAAATGACCATGCATTACAAAACCAAACCAGTATTTTCCAATGCACTGAAATACTGATTATAAAGCTAAAACAAGATCGGCAAAATACAGTTCAGCCGCAAGCATGGACTTCAGTTCACGGCCTTTACAAATACAAAAGGAAAAAGGAAGAGGGGGGCATTTGTAGAAGAGGAAATACAAATGATTTTCCAAAAAAATTGGCACCCTGGAAAATTGTTTTCAACAAGATATACCTCAACTTATCTACCATTGGTTTTCTAAATTGTAAAGTATAACATGGCACAGTATTCACCCAATATACAAGGTAACGGAAACAAATAAAAGATTTAAATCTTACATGAGAATGAAGATACTGAAGACCTGATACTATGTCTCGCACATAATTTCTTGCAGTAGCTTCCTCTAAACCATTATCACAAACAATTTTTCCTTCAACATACTCAAGAACTGGCAATCCAAATGGAAAATTGTAAATGACAACTGTGTAAAATATAGATAAAATTCAAAGAGTTAAATTCATAAAACACCAACTATTTGTGCCAAAGTGTCAAGGAACTACAACTTCTGGGACCAGTTTCACAAAACTGAAACCACTTGAGGCATCAGTTTCACAGGCCAACAATATTTTCCACAGGGCTCACATGTTAGCCGTGTAAGCTGTGTGGACCCACATGTTGATTTTTGTGGCTGACAAGTGGGCACAAGTAACTGTAGTTCCGCGAAACTAATACAAGAAATTGTAGTTCCCTGACAGACACAAATAGCAGGGGCGGAGCCAGCCCTGTTCAATGCTGTCACATGGACAGCAATGAATTTTTGTGATTTCCATTGTAATTTGAGGTTTACATATGAAGGTGACTCATAGTATAGTAGAGGTGACATTAATGTATTTTTAGGCTAGATCCGCCCCTAAATAGCTTTAGTTTTGTGAAACTAACTCAATTCAAAATGCCATGTTTAGCAATAAAATAAAATAAAAACATAATAATGAAAGCGTAATTACATACCCATGTAGAAATTATCTACGTTTGGGTCATCAATAACTTCAACAAGATTTACAATATTGGGATGATTTAACATTTTCATTATGGATACCTGTTTCCAATGTCCAATACAGAAAAAAAGGGAGCAAGCAATTAGAAAGCGTACAAAACAAACAATGCAGTCAATTAAAATAATAAAGAGCATGGTACACTGCAGTGTGCTAACATAGGGCCAGTGACCATGCTTCTACATTTTGACAGGATATTTCGACTGATTTCTAGCAATGGCTCAACCTCTTCAATTTCCATATTGGTCATGGTTATCTATTTAACCTCTTGCAGTACCTCAAGACTAATAATGGATTTCATGACTTAGAAACAGAAACGAAGCTACCATCCAGCATCTTCATGGTAGTTAGCGTGCTAGGAATTCGTCTGGCAAAAATCATATGGGCAGAACTAACAACGTTAGCGCGGGCGTATAATTTTCAAATAGACAAAAGATACATGAATTTTGTTCCACGCTCCAATGAATCAATTTCTCCTCAACGGTTAAATGGGTTTCTATTGCACAATGAGTGCAACGCTAATCAATAGCTGGGACAAAAAGATTCATGGTTAATCAGAAGGAAACCAATACTGCAAATATATGTTGTTCGTCACCATTAAATAAGCAAATGCATTCCTGATATGTGAGCAGGGTTGTTTCAGTTATGCCAAATGCCAAGGAGCAGGGTACCACCTAATTTGTTTTTCTTCAATCATAAAACAGTGGGTGCCCCACAACGAGATATCACACTGCAAAAGAAACTCTGTTCCAATCGATCTATCAAAATAATTGGACACTAATTCTTTTATCATATTCAAATATTGGAAATGATCAATTAGCATTTCAAATGGTTAGCATGTGTATTGAGTTTGTGACAGATCCTAGACAGAAAACATTTTCAAAACATGCAGAACAACTTTGGAAGAGAACTAAGTTATACATGCATGACAAAAAAAAAAGGAAAGAAGGTATTACATGGACAAAGAAGCTGACAAAGTTACTCACCTCCCGAAGAACATCTGTCATGGCGGTTTCTGATCGTACAACATGCACTTTCAGCATGTAAGGCTTATTCAAGACCTGAAAGAGAAGGGCAACAGCTAAAACTCCATCAGTTAGACATCAGCATATGTACCGAGGACATGTACAACTGTTAAAAATAACAGTGCCAAGCAAAGAAAACGAGACTATAGACTTGACAGCTGGTTACAAATTCAGTCTTGAAGCAAGCAAATTAGCTAGCAGCCAAAAACGTGCATAGGGTACACATATTAGACAGAAACAAGTATAATTAGTAACTATCATTATTCAATAAGAATACACAACGTTGAAAGTCTGTTTATCATGGAAGGGTTCATTAAAAGAAATATATGTTATCGACACGAGAGAGTAGCAGAAAGCAATACCTTCACTGCATATAGCTTCCCATCTTTTACGTTTCTGTATAGAACCTTTGGAAGCAGCAAAATAAAAAAAATTTAGACATCTATCTGGAGAAATGAAATAATTATTAGCACATCCAATGTATCTTACCACTTTACCATAGCTCCCAGAACCAATCTTTCCCAAGTGAACATATTGATTGACCATCTTATTACAATTTTCATCCTAAACATGACAAAAGGGAAAAGGTTTTGCAGTGTCCTATGTGAAAGTTAAATGCTCTCATATAACTTGCTACCCTTCATTTAACATCCAAAAGCCAATATTAGAAACTGGCAATAAACCCGGTCAGGCTCTTGGATCGTAGCCTGAACAGTGAAACCCATGCTAAATTTAGTATTGGAATTACTTTCAAATGTCTCACATTTATCTTTAAGAGACCATATGTAAATTGTAGTAAGATTTTGCTGGGCAAGTAAAATAGGCTATTCCTATCATGCCATTGGAAGGATGGATTAAAATTATTTATTGTTTTAAAAATGACCGATTAATTGTTATCATTGAAAAAATGGAAAGAAGATGCATCAGTCATAACCCATAATTGGTGTTTAGCTTGCTTCCCTGGCATGAGAGGTCCCATGTTCAGAATCCCAAACCTTGGTGTGAAGGGTAGATTAAAAAAGATATCATTTCAGAAGGAAAGAAATTGATACGAGGCATATCTAGTATAGGTATTAGGCCTTTTGGTTTCTTCATGGAAGGCGCCATGTTGGAGCGTCAGAAAAGGTGTGAAAAGTTTGATTCATGCATGGCTTAGGAATGACAAAATGTACAGTTCTCAGTTTTGGAGCAAAAATGCATGTCCAGTCTATTTTTTTATAAGTACTGACAAGCATGAATAATAAGGATTACAAAAGGCAACTCATTTTTTCCGGAAGGGTACTGTGTGATCCTCAGCAGAAAGAACTTCCAATAAGTTGCTCCTTTGATGAAAAGGTAACCTTAAGCAAGGCCAAATGGTAAGAACATAAAAATTAATGGGTGGTGTTGGTTGCCTGAGATGAATGGGAAACCAACTTCTTCCGTGCATTCAGGAAACTCAAGCGCTCGGCTCCTTATGGTGTAGGCTAGCTTACAAGAAAATGGTGGGCAAGGCTAGGTAAAGCCTCAATAGACTGATCTTCAAATATGGAAAGATAGTTGGACAAAAAAATATTAAGAAAATGGTACCTCAGAGCGAAATACTTTATTAGCCTCTTTAACTGGGACCTCTCTACATGCAAAGCCACTTTGGGCTCTTGATTGTATGATATCTTCAGAACTCTTCCATGGAGGTCCAGTGTCACTTTCATCAAGGTAGTCATTATCATCTCTATCGTAGAAGCTTTTATCAGGGTCGTCTCCATCGAGGAAACTTGTATCAAGATTATTCCCATTGTAAAATCTTAAATCAGGATCATCTCCAGTATAGAAGCTTCCATCAGGATCTTCAGCTGATTGATCTTCCAGCAAATCTTGAGATAACATGCCATCGGCATCTGGAGGCTGTCGTGCAGGCACACTGGGCTTTCTTAAAAAGCTAAAGCAGCCACAGCAGCCTATGTTGGTTAGATCTGCCATTCAGAACGTCTAGGCACCAGAAACCCTAGAACAAGAAAAAAAAAAGTAACAACGTTACAAAAAAAAAGCATCATCAGGATAAGGAAGTCATGGGCTTGTCTGCTGCATTCCTTTACGGTTACTGCAACACCACCAGACTGCAACAGATTCTAGAAATGAATTGACCACTGCAGCAGATTCAAAACTACATTTTGACAACAGACATACAGAAACTCGAATCACCAAATGGCATCCAATAGTTAGGTTTAAATTCGATCCTGTCAAAATACACAGGTCGGTCGAAGATTCTATTCCCCACACAGATTAACACCAACTGGAAGAGCCCAAACACAGTAAGCATCACTACGCACCATATGTACATTCTCTCGCTCAAATGCTGTATAAGCAATAGCAATACCAGCTACAGCAAACCGGCAAGCATCTCAGCAGAGACCGTCTCGATTACAAGAGTCCCAGGCGATTCTGCTGCAGCAAAATTGTCGAAATTGCACACATGGTCACATCAGCCCCCTCTGTCGCGACCAACGCCCGCCCTACTACTACCCAATCCCGCACCCACTGAGCTCGAGGGAGCGATAAATACGGGAGGGGACGGCGGCAGATCGGACGAACCTCGGCGTTACCGGAATGCGGAGGCGGGCCGGCGAAGGAGACTCGCGTCGCGTCTGCTCTGCCGGGGTCGGTTTTCTCCGAATGATTTTTTTACATGGTAGTTCTGTATATAGTAGTACTATCATCAAAACGACTTTAATCCGTCATTACGGCAAAGCAAATGCCTCACTGACAACCAGGGCGCACACTCTCCAACGGCTCAGATCATCATGCCCCAGCATCGAACGGTCATGACCCCTCCCACCACCTCACCCCACCTCGAGGCTCATCAGATCCCCTGCGCCGAGATCTAAAACACCTTCCTCTCCCGTCGTCCATTGCATTCTCCTCCCTCCCCCTCTAGCGAGTCCCGACTCGCCCTTCCAGATCAACTACCTCCTCTTCTCCTCCAGATCCACCACCACCTCCTCTCCGTTCCTCTCCTCAGCTACAGCTAGGGGGGAGCTCGGCTTAGCCGCCGACGTGGCCGGGCACGCCGGGCCGGGAGGATGCTGACCAAGTTCGAGACGAAGAGCAACCGGGTGAAGGGCCTGAGTTTCCACCCGCGTCGGCCATGGATCCTGGCGAGTCTCCACAGCGGGGTGATCCAGATGTGGGACTACCGCATGGGCACCCTCCTCGACCGCTTCGACGAGCACGACGGCCCGGTTCGCGGCGTCCACTTCCACGCCACCCAGCCGCTCTTCGTCTCCGGAGGTAATTTGCTAGATCCTTCCTCGTCTCGCCCGTCTGGTGCGCGCTTCGCATGTTTAGCTCATTTCTCTCTCGCGGATTGGAGGTGTTCCCGCGAGTTATGTGGATGTTTGATGGTTCTGCGATTCGTTGATTGTGTAATCGTGGGCGCTTGGACTAGACTGGTTTACAAGTTCGTTGATGAGATCGCGTTTGACGGGAAGTGCGGTGGTTAAGGATATATAATAGTTTGGTACGATGGGTTGGTCGAACTCGGATCTGGTGCTTGCTTCATCTTTGCTTACAATGATCTGTATGGTAAATAATTCCTTAGTGCTTGATTTTTCTTGTGGCTGTAGTCAGTGGATTCTATGATCTTTGAAACATGAGGTAGAATACCTTCGTCACAAATCACAAAGGCATTCTCATTAGCGCGCACCGAGACAAAAACCACTGCTGTAATCGTGCTATCAATCATTGAATTCAGACTAATGAAACTAAGACATCCTTCGGCACATTACCATTGTTACTTGTAAAACTTGTTAATCTTCTAAGATTCTGGTTATTGTGATATGATGCAGGTGATGATTATAAGATTAAGGTCTGGAATTACAAGACACACCGCTGCCTCTTCACACTTCATGGGCACCTTGACTACATTCGCACTGTGCAATTCCACCATGAGTACCCATGGATTGTAAGTGCTAGTGACGATCAGACAATCCGGATCTGGAACTGGCAGTCACGCACCTGTGTGGCTGTGCTGACTGGGCATAACCATTACGTCATGTGTGCATCTTTCCATCCCAAAGAAGATCTGGTTGTATCTGCATCACTTGATCAGACTGTGCGTGTCTGGGATATCGGAGCTCTGAGGAAGAAGACAGTGTCACCTGCTGATGACATCCTCCGTCTCACCCAGATGAACACAGATCTTTTTGGAGGTGTTGATGCTGTAGTGAAATATGTCCTGGAAGGCCATGACCGTGGGGTCAACTGGGCCTCATTTCATCCCACTTTGCCACTCATTGTTTCTGGGGCAGATGACCGGCAGGTGAAGCTATGGAGAATGAATGGTAATAGTCTTATTGCTCACTTTGCAATTTGCATGTCTTGTTTGTAGTTTTTGTGTAGCAAAATGATAACTATTCAAGTATATATGATTTGATGTTTCCACATGATAGAATTACCTAATAATATGCTTTTAATCGTGGATATTTTTTCGTTCTTTCTTTCTTTCTTTCTGTAATCTTTCCTTCACAGAACGTCATACCATTAGTAACTTGTTACTTTTGATTTATATTTAAAATATTACATGTAAAATGGATCTTGGAGGTTAAGTTTAGCACACAATTTAGCTGCTCAATTAGTACCTAGCATATGTGAAAAAGAGTATACATTCTACAAGGAAATGTTTGAAATGCAATAATTTATATTTATTCTTTATGGACAGATACCAAGGCTTGGGAAGTTGATACTTTAAGGGGCCACATGAATAATGTGTCTTGCGTGATGTTCCATGCGAAGCAAGACATCATTGTGTCTAACTCCGAAGACAAAAGCATTCGCATTTGGGATGCCACAAAGAGAACTGGTATTCAGACATTTAGACGGGAGCATGACCGTTTCTGGATTCTTGCTGCTCACCCTGAAATGAACCTTCTTGCTGCTGGTCATGACAGTGGCATGATTGTGTTCAAATTAGAGAGGGAACGCCCGGCCTTCTGTGTTAGTGGTGACACTGTTTTCTTTGTGAAGGATCGGTTTCTCCGGTTCTTTGAATACTCTAGCCAGAAGGAAGTTCAAGTGGCTCCAATAAGAAGACCTGGATCAGTCAGCTTGAACCAGTCACCCAGGACGCTGTCCTACAGCCCAACTGAGAATGCTGTCTTGATTTGCTCTGATGCTGATGGGGGTTCATATGAACTCTACATTGTTCCCAAGGATTCTGCTGGCAGGTCTGATTACTTGCAAGAGGCAAAGAAAGGAGCTGGTGGTTCTGCTGTTTTTGTAGCGCGCAACAGGTTTGCAGTCCTTGAGAAGAGTAGCAATCAAGTTTTGGTGAAGAATCTTAAGAATGAAATTCTGAAGAAAAGCCCCCTTCCCATTGCAACTGATGCAATATATTATGCTGGGACCGGTAACCTGCTGTGCAAAGCTGAAGACAGGGTGACCATCTTTGATCTTCAGCAAAGGTTAGTTCTTGGTGAGCTCCAGACTCCTGCTGTCAAATATGTTGTTTGGTCCAGTGACATGGAATCCGTTGCACTGCTGAGCAAGCATGCAGTGATTATAGCTAGCAAGAAGCTTGTCCACAGGTGCACACTGCATGAAACCATCCGTGTGAAAAGTGGTGCCTGGGATGAGAATGGCGTGTTCATTTACACTACACTGAACCATATGAAGTACTGTCTTCCCAATGGAGACAGTGGGATCATAAAAACCCTTGATGTTCCTATTTACATAACGAGGGTTGTTGGGAACAACATTTTCTGCTTAGATCGTGATGGAAAGAACAAGCTGATTGCAGTTGATGCATCGGAGTACATTTTCAAGCTCGCCCTTCTCAGGAAACACTATGATCACGTTATGAGTATGATTAAGAACTCCCAGCTGTGTGGGCAGGCTGTGATTTCTTATTTACAACAGAAAGGTTTCCCAGAAGTTGCTCTACACTTTGTGAAGGATGAGAAGACCAGATTTAACCTAGCTCTCGAGAGTGGTAATATTCAAATTGCAGTTGCTTCTGCAAAGGAGATTGATAACAAGGATCACTGGTACAAGTTGGGAATTGAGGCCCTGAGGCAGGGAAATGTTGGTATAGTGGAATATGCTTACCAACGAACAAAGAATTTTGAGAGACTTGCTTTTCTGTATCTTATTACTGGTTACTTGGACAAGGTCAGCTTCATGTGCAAAATTGCTGGACAGAACAACAATTTGATGGGACAGTTCCACAATGCATTGTATCTTGGGGATGCCAAGAAGCGTGTTGAGATCTTGGAGAATGCTGGGCAGCTACCTCTTGCTTATGTTACCGCTGCCACTCATGGGCTCACAGAAATTGCTGAGAGGCTTGCTGCTGAATTAGGCGAGAATGTTCCTTCTCTGCCTGAAGGAAAATCCCACTCACTACTGATCCCCCCTGCACCTCTCACAGCATGTGGTGATTGGCCATTGCTGAGGGTAATGCGCGGTATTTTCGAAGGTGGATTGGATGCTACTGGAAGGGCAGATCTTGAGGAAGAAGATGAAGCTGCTGGTGCTGATTGGGGTGATGAAGACTTGGATATTGTTGATGCAAGTGAAGTGGTGGCCAATGGTGGTGGTGGTTTTGATGTAGAAGAGGGTGAGCCAAATGAGGAGGATGGTGAGGAAGGTGGCTGGGACCTGGAAGATCTGGAACTTCCACCTGAAACTGAGACTCCAAAAGCTGTTGGCAATGCTCGCTCTGCTTTATTTGTCGCTCCTACACCAGGTATTCCTGTCAGCCAAATTTGGACTCAGAGATCTTCTCTGGCTGGGGAGCAAGCGGCTGCAGGGAACTTTGACACAGCAATGAGGTTGCTTAGCCGCCAGTTGGGTATCAAGAACTTTGTTCCACTGAAGCCCTTGTTTCTTGATCTGCACATGGGCAGTCATACATATCTGCGTGCGCTTGCCGCTGCTCCTGTTATATCAGTTGCAGTAGAGAAAGGTTGGAATGAGTCTGCAAGTCCTAACGTGAGGGGCCCTCCTGCACTTGTTTTCAGCTTCTCACAAATGGAAGATAGACTCAAGGCTGCCTACAAAGCCACAACTGAGGGCAAGTTCCCTGAAGCACTGAGACATTTCCTTAGCATCTTGCATACCATTCCAGTTATTGTGGTGGATTCACGGAGAGAAGTTGATGAGGTAAAGGAATTAATTGAGATAGTGAGGGAGTATGTTCTTGGTCTGAGGATGGAACTCAAGAGAAAGGAATTGAGGGATGATGTGACCCGTCAACAGGAGTTGGCTGCTTACTTCACAAACTGCAAGCTTCAGAGAGTTCATATGAGGCTTGTGCTCGCTAGCGCTATGGCTCTTTGCTTCAAGCAGAAAAACTATGCAACTGCAGGACACTTTGCAAGGATGCTTCTTGAGAACAGCCCTCAGGAGGCCCAAGCAAAGAAGGCTCGACAGGTGCTGCAAGCTTGCCAGGACAAGAACGATTCTCACCAACTGAACTATGACTTCAGAAATCCATTCGTTGTTTGTGGCGCCACATATGTTCCTATCTATCGTGGCCAAAAGGATGTTTCCTGCCCATACTGTGGATCCCGATTTGTTCCTTCCATCGAAGGGCAGCTTTGTACCATATGTGAGCTTGCTGCGGTTGGGGCAGATGCTTCAGGCCTCCTCTGCTCTCCTACACAGTCGAGATAAGCAATGGTAGTTAGAGGTCCCCTATATTCTTTCTAGTGTCTTAAGTTCCAAGACTTTATCATATATTTTACCTGGGAGTTTACTGATTGTAAGGAATAAGTATTATACATGTTTTTATCGAGTTTTTTTCTTTTTTGTGTTTTGTTACCATATAATTTTTGTTTGCCTAGAGGCTGCTGTCATCACCTGCGGTATAGTTTAGACTTTTGATCGACTTTGGAAGCTATGCTGGAAATTGATGTATGGGATGTTTCTTTCACTCTTTAAAATTCTTTTTTTGGATGTTCCTGCGTTGCTTTTAGTTTATAGTCTGGAGGTAATTTTTGCTCGGTAGGTGGGCTAATGTGCTTTATGTCAAAATACCTCAAGCCTGAAAGAGTTTACCAGTTAGAGTGCCAATCTCTCATCTCTTAGCATCACGTATTCTTCGCATTACCAGAAGGATTTGTTTGGGGGCCTGTTTTAATCCATCATATACAACAGGCATCTGGTAAACATCGTGGGGATATTACCTTCCATTTCATCAGGTAAACATCGTGGCGATATTACCTTCCATTTCTTCACTCGACGACGTTCACTGCTTTATGGAAAACTGAATCATACATCTGTTTTCCACATGATCGTGCATTCCAAAGATGGGCAAGTTCGAGCGTTTCTCCACAATATATCGTCACAAGGATGTAGCTCCGCTCACAAGGACTTCTTTTCATCCGCGATGAAGCTTATACCACCACTTGGCCAGTAAGGCCTGATTCAAAAAAGATCAATCACCCCCTTCCCTACTTCATACTTTGTCTTAATCTTTAAGTTTGTGACTTGAACTATTTCAACATACAAAAGCAATAAAGCATAGTTTCAAGTTACTTTTAACTTTTAATCCAACAATGATTTGATACTTTGATTGGATGACTCATCATGCTTGATTAGTCCATCAGATCAACACAAATACTTGTTTCTTCACCTTGGCTATGTACCTCGGTTGCCAAATGATCGCTTATTCTTCACCTTCCCTGTTTCTCAAAGTCGTTTTCCTGTCATGTCTATGCTTGTACCAACAATAAGCCTTCATTTGAAATCCACTTCTTATTTTGATCAATACGAAATACGAAATCCATTATCAATGTTTTCGATTTAGTTGCCAAGCCATATATGTGAAACCAACTCGAATGCAACTAATTATGTATATTTTCTCTTTTGAGTGTCTTTATTAAGAAACCCAGGCTTTAATTTATATAGAAAAAAGAAAAGTAAAAAATGGCGCCATTTTGAGAAATGTGGGTGTTAAATAGATTGTTTAATAATGAGGTAAACTTTGGACATCAAAGAAACTTTGGAACGCATGCAAAAATTAAGATCTCGATTTTTTTTTGTGACTTAAGATTTCGAAATCTGAAACACAGCGAAGACTCAGTTTTGGCAACAACCGTTTTCGGCCGCGTCGCCTGCATGCTGACAGATTGCGATCTCACGAGTCACGCCACTTCGTACTGAAGTCTATAGCACGGGCACGGAGCGCCGGAGCGGAGAGGAGAGAGGACCGCAATGTCGTCGAGCGGGAGATTCGATCCAGCAGTCCTCTCCGGCGCCGTCGCCGCCACCGCCATCGCAACCGCAGAGTCCAGGAGCGTGATAGGGGTCGAGACCCCAGGCCTGCAGAGCGTTCTCTCCTGGCGCAGTTCCGGCTCAATTCTTCTCCGATGGCTCTGATCCCAAGAGAGGCGTTTTGCGTCGGATGGAGCTCCGGACCAAGGAAGCCGCTTATGACTTCGCCGCGATCAGAGACCACCTCACCGCATGTGTTGAGATATTGGAGGAGGCGAAGGAAGAAATCGGCTTGTTCTATCAGATGCCGCCGCCGGAGATTGTCAGACACCGAGGTATGCCCTGGCCTCTCTCACATGCACCTACTTCGTGAATTTTGTATTTTGATCTTTCCGGAAATTGAATTGAATCCACGTTGTTTTTTTGGCCGATCCAGATCTTTTTGAGAGAATATGGGGATGGGAACGTTTCTTTCCTGTCTACAACCTGAGGTACCTTGAAGAATACTACCGACGAAATGCCAAAGCGAGCCTCGCTCAACCGCAACCTATGTTATCCCTTGTTTCTCTAGTCTACCTGGTAACTCCATTTCCTCCTTACTAGCTTAATTTTCCAGGTTTCCATGTTAGGTTAGGGGTTGTATCTCCTGATTGCTTCGCCAAGAATTATCAGCGATTTTGAACTGTTACGTTGTTTGTTGCTTGCTTTCCAAGGGTCGCGAGAAGGTTGCCAGTTCTACGCAGTCTGATGCCACCAGTGGGCAACAGCATGCCGATTCTGCTGATGTCAATGACAACTTGGCTACTATTCTCGTCCATTTGGTAACTCCACCGCCTGCCAAGCCTTTGATTGAGGCTAGGCTAGGCTAGGTTTGCATTCATTGGTTCTTACAGTGAATTGATCTATCTTATGCTTACTTTCCAAGTGTTGCGAAAAGGAGACCGAACTGGTATCTGAATGGAAGGAGCAGGGGTTAGATGATGCCTCTCCTGATATCAGGCTGAGCACCGCGATTCAGAAGCAAGTCATAAATCTTGTGCTGCCAAAAAAGAAGCGTATCATACCTCCTGTTATTGTACGTGTAGAAACAGCTTCGCATCAGTTTAGATTCAATACACTTTATTTATCTGTTTACTCCACTTGCAGCTGGATTGCATCAGTTGTATCATGAAGGAAGCTGAGTTGAGCCTTGTGTCGATGAGGAAGGGGACGCTTGCTGATGACTGTGATGAAAATTTAAGCCATAACATTCGTTATGAGGTGTTTTGTCTCATTAAAAAGTATTGGCGTGCACATCCGTCCTCTGCTTCTGTTGCTACCTGTGCTGTCCTGTTGGTAAGTGTTGGTGCCAGACCAGAAATGATAGGTTTCATTTGTTGTATACGAGTATTTACTGTTTGATGGGTAACTTGGCTGCAAAAATTGCAAACAATAATTTGAAGGGAACCACAAAGGAAGCTGAACAGATGTGTGAGAAGAGGAGGCGAGACAGTCTCTTATTTGGAGAGCATACCTTGACTACAAGCATCCGCTTGCTGGCCTTAGGTATGTTGTCTGATGATATGGATGCATATGTGCTTAAGACAGCTACAACTGAGGGCTTTTGCTATTGGGACTACGTTGATCCAGATGCAATAGACATGCCTGCCTGGTATGATGTATATATACTGATTGGTATATTTCATTATATGTGAGAGGAATAATTTATAATGTTGTGAGGAGTGAGAAGCATATCAGTAATATTTCCTCTATATACTCTCTCTAGGTGTGAAAGTGAACAGCGACATAGCAAGGCTCAAGACGCGGAACTGGGTAAAGTGCACGTCGATGACTCTGATGAGTTAAGCAAGGAAAAGCATTCAACCAAAAACAAGGTACAGCAATAAACCAACACAAGTTGGCAGTTTGTTCTTATATTCTGATTCTTCTTTTGCTGACTTGAACTGTTTGCTGACTTGTACTGACTTGGGGGAAGATCTGTTGTTGCAAGGGGAGTGGGTGGTGGCGGATAAAAATTAGTGAGCACACGAAGATGCTAATAAATTGAATATGGACACTAACAGGCCCCAACAGATCCAAGAGAAATTTCAACATTAAGCTAGGATCTGTCCATCTTTGTATTTTTTTCGTTCATGATGCAATTACTTTGTTCTTTCTCTCTCGTTGCTTCTGTACAACCAAAGCTCCGGGTGTTCTATACAAGTCTTTTAGACTATCCACTGATAGTAATAGATCATCAAACACTTTCGTGTTTGCAATCTCAGGTTGAAAAATGTTGTTGGTTGTGGTATGATTTAATCCTAACAGATTTGAGTAGCGCCCTGCTCTTGCAATTAATTTTGTGTTTGTTTGAATGTCCATGCGAGGTACATTTCCTGTTCCATTTTATATGCACTCGAGTTTTACAGATGCTGTTGGTTATGGTATGTTTTTTCCTAACAGATTTGAGCAGCATCCTGCTCTTGCACTTGTTTTTCTGTTCGTCTGAGGTGCTAAAAAATTCTATTAACTCAGTACTTGGTAATTTTACCTCCAATCTTTCAAGAAGTTGCCAGATTAACAACCTCGGATGCTTCACTAACCCAGCCGGCCAGCCGTCCCCATATCAGATACTTCAATATTATGATACTTTCTCTGTATTACCACAATGTTTTTCAGAGTTGAATATCGTTGTACCCATATTTCCGTACAGGGCCATAGCTTCTTGGCACCTTGCCATGGACCGTAAAAAGGCTTTTTTGGTTCAAATTTCGTTGTTGTTCTTTTTTTTTTTTGCACATGTTGTAATACACCATTCCTAGTTCAATGATTAGACAAAGGAGCCAAACACTGCAAAACCTACATATATTATGCTACTTTTCTCTCTAATGTTTTTTTGATGGGTTATTACCGTTTCAATCTCATTATTGCTCTGCTATTTTTCCTGTGTTTTTTCAGCCTGATGACACATCTTAGTGGTAGTCCATCCACTGCAACCATGGATAATGATGTGCTGAACAGAAGCAGAAATTTTTACGAGGGAAGACAAGAAGATGACACATTCCCAGTTTAAAAAAACGGCCTGCATTCCCTCCCTGATGCTTCTGAAAACCAGAGATGAAAGACTGCAGTTATGTTCTGTCCATCTGTTTGAATTCATCATTAGTCTGTTCATGTCTGCAGACACTGTGCTATTCTGAAATTCGTAATTAGTTTGTAGTTCATGCCTGCAGATGCTGTGCTAGTCTGGAATTCATACATGTTCGCTTGAGCTCACAACAAATCAGGAAATAATACTTTTCATCCTATCTTTTCAGCTAAACGAACAGGTAGTCCATGGTTCATGTGTGCCGATGTTGTATATTTCCTTTTCTTTGTATGGTATATTTTTATTTTCAAAGGTTTTCTCTCCTCTAAAGAGACTAAAATTTTTGCTTTTCAAGAAACCAAACAATATTATAAGTTTATTAATCAAATTCATACAAAAGATACACTTCATCCATCTCAAAATAATGGGCCTGTTCACTTGTCTGAATTCTGGAGGAATCTGGATGGTTTGGAGAATGCTAGAGAAATTTGTGAGAGAAAAACACTGTTCCGGATGGAAAAAAAATAAGCGGATCAAGTCGAATTTAAGGGCACGCGAACGGAGCCAATAAATGAACATGTCGTATCATTCTTCGAGAAGTCAACTAATTTTAAATTTAGCTAGTTTTATAAAAAAAATAGTATCAACATTTATACATCTAATAATGTTTATTTGGTATGATCAATATTAATATTTTTTATATACTGGGTTAAACTTTAGATAGTGCTTTTATTATACAAACATGCGCGCTTCCCCTTTTTCTCATAAACATGCGCTTCTTCGTTCTTCCCCTTTCTCTCCGTTCGCCGCAAGCCGTGGCCACGCTCGCGTCCGCACCGCCGGCACTCCTGCTCGTGCCACCGCCGCCCAGCCATACCCGCCCGTCTGTGCCTTGGCCAACTCGGCCGCTTGCGGCCATCTCCGCCGCGCCCCCGGTCCCTTGGCTCCGCCGCCGCCTCCGCCCGGTCGCAGCTCCGTCTTCGGTCCGCCGGACCCCCGGCCGTGGCTCCGATCGCCGCAGGACGCGCGCCCGCCGGCCCCAGGCCGGCCATCTCCCTTTTTGCCGGCAACGGCAAGCGTCCTTTCCCTCCTCATCTCACACCTGTAGCGTGGAGTCAATAAGAGCTTGTGCCGCCGGCGAGGGGTGGCAATCCCGCGGAGGACTCGAGGCGCCCGGCCATGCGCGCCCCGCCCGCTGCCGGCGGCTTCAACTCGCCGTGGACGATCGCCATCCGCGCGGCGGCAGACCAAGGCCGGCCCCGCCGCGCCATCGCTCTGTACCTCGCGTCCCTACGCTCGTCCCGCCGCCCCTGCCCCTTCGCCCTCGCCGCCGTCCTCAAGTCTGTGCCCCGCCTCCCCGAGCACACCGCTCTCCCCGCGGCGGCCTCCCTCCACGCGCACCTCCTCCGCCTCGGTCTCCTCTCCCACCCCTACCCGCACGCCGCGCTCTCTCACCTCTACTCCCGCCTTCTGCCCCCGCACCACGACCACGCCCGCGGCTTGCTCGATGACGAGCCCGCGCCGCTGCACCGCCACTCCCGCCTCGTCTCGTCCAACTCGCTCCTCGCTTCCCTCCTACGCGCGGGCGATATCGACGCCGCGCGCTCCATGTTCGAGGCAATGCCCGCGCGGGACGTTGTGTCGTGGAACTCCATGGTCGCCGGACTCGCCAAGGCCGGCCACCTCGACGAGGCCATCGAACTGTTCGACCGAATGCCCGAGACAAACGCCGCGTCCTGGAACGCCCTCGTGTCCGGTTTCATGGCACAAGGCCACGTGGCCCAAGCGCAAGAGCTGTTTGAGCGGATGCCCATCAGGAACAATGTTTCCTGGATCACGATGATCTCAGGGTACGCCAAGGCCGGTGACGTCCAAGCTGCTGCTAACCTGTTTGATAGGATGGATAATAAGGATCTTTATGCATGGAATGCGATGATCTCATGCTATGCACAGAATGGTTGCGCAAGAGAGGCACTTGGCATCTTTAACAGGATGTTGAAGCCACATATTTGGGTGGTACCCAATGAGAAGACTTTCTCCTCTGTCATCTCGGCATGTTCACAGCTGGGGGACTTGAGGTTCGGCTTGTGGGTTGAGAGTTTCATGGGGTATGTGGGGGTTGATCTGGATGATCACCTGCGTACCACTCTGGTTGATTTGTACACCAAGAGTGGGCAAATGGATAGGGCTTTTGAATTGTTCAGAGGCTTGAGATCAAGGGATGTGGTGTCTTACAGTGCGATGATAGTGGGCTGTGGAATGCATGGCAAGTTAAATGAAGCTGTTGGCTTATTCAAGGAGATGTCCAAAGCGAGGATTGATCCTAATGCGGTGACCTTTGTGGGGTTGTTGTCTGCATACAGTCATGCAGGACTACTGGAAGAAGCTCGTGCTTGTTTCACTTCCATGTCAAGCAAATATAGGATTAATCCTTCAATGGAACACTACACTATTATGGTAGACATTCTTGGGCGCTGCGGAAAGTTGGAAGAAGCATTCCAGCTGATCATGCAGATACCTGTATGCCCACATGCCAGTGTTTGGGGTGCCTTGCTTCTTGCTTGCAGGTTGCACAACAACATTGAGCTTGGGGAGGTTGTTGCTTCCAAGTGCTTTGAACTGGAGCCAGAGGAGAGCGGATATTACATTCTCTTGGGTAACATATATGCACAAGCAAAGAAGTGGGACAAGGTTAAGGGTTTAAGGAAGATGATGGCGGAAAGGGGTTTGAGTAAGACGCCCGGGAGTAGCTGGGTGCATGTTACATGAATCCATTATATTGATCTTACTCATTTTACATTTGGTCAGTTAGTTGACAAATCAACATGGAACTCAGATTTTGGGCACTAAATTTGGGAAGATGAGGAGTCAACAGAAACAATTGTTTAGTTGCCATCGTCATGGAATCCTCATTCCTCATGTTTCCTGACTTCTCTACGTGGGTTCAGAACCCATTGGAATCAGTTGTTCTTGTGGTCCTTGAGAGCTTTAGGGCGTACCCAGTGCAGAGAGCTCCCGCTCTGTGCGGGGTCTGGGGAAGGGTGTTAGTGGCAAGCCTTACCCTCGCCTGTGCAATGCGAGGAGACCGCGACTCGAACCCAGGACCTTCCGGTCACAGGAGGTAAGACTCTACCGCTTGCACCAGGCCCACCCTTCCCTTGAGAGCTTTAGGGCAATATTCTTTAATCCTCATCACATCTGATCTTCATTATGTGGAGAAGACAGGAGGATTATGGAGGTTTAGATACAAGAATATAAGAAATGAGAAATCTAAACCTGCATAAACATGCGAGGTTGTCTAATGCATATTTTGATGAGACGAGCGTTGAAGAGGTTATGTTAAATTGGAGAGACTACGAGCTGTATCTTATGTTCTCTAGATGATACGGATGCTCCATGAAGATGCCCATATCCATCCTCGGTACCTGGAAAAGTTCAAGCATTCGTCATGAAACTCATAATTTGTCTGTTGCCAACTCCACCACCTTTTATTCAAGTATATCTGTACATACACTTTGCAAATTCTACTAGTAATTCAGAAACTTGGGGAAAGATATGTTGTTCTTGTGTGTTACATGCAAGGGGAGTGGTTGGTGGTGGGTTAAAATTATTGAGCACACGGAGATTCTAATAAACTGAATATGGACACTAATAGGCTCCAACAAATCCAAGAGAAATTTCAAATTAAACTAGGATCTGCCCGTCTTTGCATTTTTTTCGTTCAATGATTCAATTACTTTGTTCTTTCTCTCTTTATTGGTTCTGTACAACCACAGCTCCAGGGGGTCTATACAATAGTCTCTTATCCGCTGGTAGTAATAGGTCATCAAACACTTTCATGTTTGCAATCTCAGGTTGACAGATGGTGTTAATTATAGTATGATTTTGTCCTAACAGATTTGAGCAGCACCCTGCTCTTGCACTTGTTTTGCTATTTGTAATTCAGTACATAATAATTTTACCTCCAATCTTTCAAGTTACCAGATTAACAATAATTAACATAGCACTTCTCGGCTATGTATCACCAATGATTCACTAACCCACCCGTACCCATATCAGATACTTCAATACTATGATTCTCTATATTACCACAATGTTTTCAAGAGTTAAATATCGATGTACCCTTAATCCCTTATTGCCGTGCTGGTATCTCATAGCACTTCTCTGTATTACCACAAGCTTTTTTTGCACATGTTCTAATAGACCATTCCTTCTTCAATGATTAGACTAAGTAACCAAACAGTGCATAACTTACATATATTATGCTACTTTTCTCTCTGTAATGTTTTTTGGTGGGTAGATTGCCGTTACAATCTAATTATTTCCCAGCAAATTTTCCTGTGTTTTTTCAGCCTGATGACACATCTTAGTGGTAATCCATCCACTGCCAGCATGGATAATGATGTGCTGTACAGAAGCAGAAACTTTTACGAGGGAAGGGGAGGCAAGAAGATGGTAGGAGTAGCTATTGTAACCCAGTAACCCAAAAAAAGGCTGGCCTGCCTTCCCTCCCTGATGCTTCTGAAAACCAGAGATGAAAGGCTGCAGTCATGTTCTGTCATCTGTTTGAATTCATCATTAGCCCCTGGTTCATATGTCTGCAGACGCTGTGCTATTCTGGAATTCATTTTAGTTCGTGGTTCATGCCTGCATGCTGTGCTATTCTCGAATTCATAATTAGTCCGTGGTTCATGTCTGCAGATGCTGTACATTTCCTTTGCTTTGTAGGGTAGTCATGTTAAGATGGAACTACTCTAATCAATTTTACGAAGAAAGAATCGCGCTGCTGTTGCCAAATAGATTTCACCTTTTGATGACGCTCGCCAAATCGCCAATGCTAGTAGCGTCAGTATGCTCGCAGGCGCCAGCTTTGCTACTTTGCCTAACTGACAACCCAGAGATCTAAGGTTAAATAACCTCCACTCAGATTTTTAAACATCCAATTGCACGATGTTCACTAAACCGAACAATTTTTTTCGTTAAAAAAAAACAGAAGAAATTTCATATGATAACATAGCTTTCAGCAGAACCAAGATGTACCATGCCTTCGTTTGCTGAATCCAATAAGCCAAATATTCAGACTTTCATATGCCACTCCGTCCGTTCACCTTCATCTCTTTGCCCAGGGTTTCAGACAGTTCTACTCTATTGGATATTGAACTGGCAGAAACATTGAAGGCGACGCCCAAACAGCCTGTAACTACAACCAGGCTGAAAAATCCCAACAAACATCGTTACTTTCAAGGCTGCCACACTGAAAGCAGTCTACTTCTTACCCACACTTCCAAAGCAGTCTCGCACACTTTTGCGGCCCGTTGGAGCATTAAATATAGACGAAAAGAAAAACAAGTGAGATTGTGGGTGTGTTTTGAGTTGGGTGAAAGCCAAATAAAAACGAATTTACAATTCTTGTATCAAATTTCGGCTTTTTTATTTGGTGTGTAGTTGTTCAATCATAGCACTTTTCGTTTTACTTGGTTAGTGTTCAATCAAACGCTAATTAGGCTCAAAACGTTAATCTTCCCAACCAAACTGTGCAATTAGTTTTTTTTTTCGTCTACATTTAATGCTCCATGCACGTATCGCAAGATTCGATGTGATGGGTACTGTAGCACTTTTTTTGATTTTGGGGTAGTAACTAAACACGCGCTGTATAACAGATCGTGCTCTTAAGGCCCAGTTTATTTTCCTCGGGCAAAAGTTTAGCCCTGTTGCATCGAATGTTTAACATATGTATAGAGTATTAAATATAGACTAATTACAAAACTAAATGCACAGATTGAGATTAATTTGCGAGTTGAATTTTTTAAGCCTAATTAACCCATGATTTGATAATGCAATGCTACAGTAAACATATGCTAATGCTAAATTAATTATGCTTAATCAATTAATCTCGCGAATTACTGACGACTTCTGTAATTTATTTTTTTTTATTGCTATCCGAACACTCGATATGATATTCTCCATGTGACACCTGATATAACACCTCTAAACTTTAGCCATGGATTAAACAACCTCTAAGCTAACGTGACTACGCGAGAAACATCACAGCCAGTAGTTGCAGCTTGCGTAACAGACAAGCATCAGAACGTGTCATGCTCAGCCGGAATCAGATCCTCTGAAGTTGGTAAAAACGACTCGTCTCTGCAGTCCAGCATCTGAGCCATCCAATTTGCATCCAACCGTGAGCGAAGCAAACTCAGGAAACAAACCAATATCATGGGCCGGCCCATACCAGCTCAGCGTACCGACTCCCCTGGGTGCGACTCGTTCGACTCCGCCTGTCCGCCGTCGCTCGTTCCTCTTCCCGACCGGCCACCACCGGCCACCGAGACGCTCGGAGTGGAGGTCCCTACACCGCCGGCGCTACCCTCTCCTCCCCTCCCTGACCCGGCGGCATGGCATGTCAGCAGGGCTTCCACCTCGCCAGCGCTCCCCTTCCCTGTCCCAGGCTCCCAGCGCGCGTTGCGGCGGCTGGCGAGCACGGTGGCGCAGGCGAGCACTCGAGGCGACCGGCGACCTTCCGCGGCAGGGCGGCAGCGTGGGCGAGCACGGTGGCACAGGCGAGCACTCGAGGCGACCGGCGACCTTCCACGCTGCCGGCCTGCCGCGGAAGGTCGCCGGTCGCCTCGAGTGCTCGCCTGCGCCACCGTGCTCGCCAGCCGCCGCAACGCGCGTTGGGAGCCTGGGACGGGGAAGGGGAGCGCTGGCGAGGTGGAAGCCCTGCTGACATGCCATGCCGCCGGGTCAGGGAGGGGAGGAGAGGGTAGCGCCGGCGATGTAGGGACCTCCGACTCCGAGCGTCGCGGTGGCCGGTGGCGGCCGGTCGGGAAGAGGAACGAGTCACGGCGGACAGGCGGAGTCGAACGAGTCGCACCCAGGGGAGTCGGTACGCTGAGCTGGTATGGGCCGGCCCATGAGATTGGTTTGTTTCCTGAGTTTGCTTCGCTCACGGTTGGATGCAAATTGGATGGCTCAGATGCTGGACCGCAGAGACAAGTCTTTTGCCAACTCCAGAGGATCTGATTCGGCTCAGCCACATACCAAACGGAGTCTTCTGTTCAACAGCCTTTGCTGCTGTAGCTGACTACAGCTGCCGCATCGTATTGGTGCCTCCATGAAACCTAGGACCAGCCAGTGTCGGTGTCACCATCGCCAGAACTGACATGAGACCACCGGTGATCAGCTTTTATCCTAGGACGCTTCTCTACGTCAGCAGATCACACGCGTTTCATCAGACACAGTTGCCGTGTCATCTGTCACAAACAGGCGTCAGGTGACAGTGTGACACACACCGATAGTGTTCATCGATCCATTCACTCTGCATCAGCAGATCAGCAAATTCATCATCGTCACTAACGGAGTGGCAGATCGAAACAGGCTGATGACAGCAATCTCGAAACGCACTAAGCAAGCATATTCCATGCGACCTTGAGAACAAACCATCCAACAACAGCAGAACATCAAAGGGAGACGAGACGAGGTTGCTGCGAATGCGATGCAGCAAGAACACAACTCACCCATCAGCCAAGGCAACTGCAATGCAAGAAGCAAGATTACTGCAATTCTTGGCTGTTGGCTGAGCTAAACAGAGTTCCATGGATCATGAAGGCTAATGAAACGATCAGACTAACTGCATTGCATTGCGCGAGCGCGACAAGGAGACACAGGATACACCGCCGGAGCCACACCACTCCGGCCACCACCCAACAATAGTAAGGTAGAGAAACACCATGAACCACGACACACCGCCGGCCGCCACCGCCGCC